TGAAGCAGCAAATGTTACTGACTACACCTCTCCCATTGCATAGTCAGTTTATTTTCTGAAGAAAATACACTACTGCACTCATATAATCCACTAGATTTTTAACACTGTAAGGGATTAAGGTATTTGGCTGAAGATCACAAATTGTAATCAGTATTCAGATTCATTGACAAAAGTTGTGTTAATTGCAGTTAAAAACTCAGATTATTGACAACTAAAAATAGAGTAAAAGAGAGGCACTAGCAGATTTAGGTCTGATTTTGCAAAGGTATGGGAATATCATGTGGTACACCTTTTGAATGTTAATGTTCTGCTGAAGAAGATTTCAGACAGGCTGAGGTGGCTGCTGTACTCAGCCAAGCAGAATCTACTGCAGAGGTGCTGAGGCAGAGCTGAAATTTAAAAAAAAAAAAAAGAAATTATTGTGAGTTACTTCTTACACACAAATAGAATTTTCAATCAACTTCGTGGGGAGGTTTTTTTGTGTAAAATTCTAAGCCTTAAACCACAGCTTTTGAACTTGCATATTCACCATTTTCTTCAGCAGTCCCTGATCCTTTATATTTAGAAACACAAGGAAAGTGCAGAAGAATGGAAACTAAAGATACCTGTACCTACCTGCAACTGCTGCAGCGGGAAATGGGTCAAGTTCCCTGTCGACTAGATGAAGGTATTTGTTTCACAGAAGTTGTTTAATTTTCTTCATTTATTTAATAAGGCTATAACCTTTATATTGCATATGCCTGGCTGTCTGTTATGTCCTAAATAACAGGAATATTGATATTAGGATTGAAAGTAGCAATAATTAAATTAATGTATACTGACTATATTGTTGTGTATTCCCCGTTGATTTTATGGAACGTATATTGTAGTTCGTCTTTTAATGATACCAGAAAGGGTGGCATAAAATCCATTCCTTGTAATTTTGAGCTCCAAATATTGTTTTGTAAAGATTTATGACTGGTAAGATAACAAGTTTTCAAGTTGCTGATTCATCAGCCTATAAGGATGTTAGCCAGGTTATGGGCTTTAAAAGCTTTAGTGTTTTTGGTTATCTTGTTACTACTATGCATTTAAGATATTTGCTGTAGGAAAGGGTTGCAATACTGATGGATGTGTATCTGCACACCCTATTTTTAAAAGAAGAGTGTAGAGAGAGGAAACAGGACAGCCTGTTGGGTGCATATTCCAAGTCAATGCATAAATTCCTCAGTGGTGCAAATATAATGAAGTTTCACAGTTAGATCTTCACAAGAGGTATCTCATAAAGCTTACAATTACGTTAGCAAATGCAGTGGGTAATTTAAGCTTTTAGGATAGCTTTGACTCTTTTTATGTATAAATCACCCTCACACAGCTTACGTAGATGAATTCAAAATATTGTGTGTGCACATTTACACACTAAAGGGGAGTTTGCATTTTAAACGTTTCATGGTGCATTAAGTAAAATTGAGGTCCACGGTATTGGAGAGGGTCTACCAAAAAAAGAGAACAGCTCTTTTCTAGCACTGTTTTATTGTTAAAATTAAGCCCATCTTTAACCTGCTTTAACAATGTCAACAACTGAATGGCGCTCAAAGAAACTCTTTTTGCACACAAAGATCCGTCTTTAAAAGCTGTTCAGAGAGGAAGGGGATATATGTCTGCAGGACAAGGGCAATGTCAGCTTGATATTGAATTTATAAGAAGAAAAGGATGAGACATAGGTGAAAAGGACATTGTTAGTATATTCCTGTAGACTGTGCAGCAACCAACTGTCCAGGATACAGTATGGAGGAATGTAATATACAGCTGAGCACAAGAGAAGGGCACGTGTAATTTAATTTGTTAACCTGGTACTTTCTGTAATCAAGTTTTGTTTATTTAATGTAGGCTTAAAATGTTAATCACAGCAACTGAGATGTGAATGAATGAAAACATCTTTGCTCAAATAGTTTGTGTACAGATGTTTGAGCCTGAAGAAACTTGCCATGTGTTTTTGTAGATGAGGAAGTGAGTAATCAGTGAAACTAGTATGGGTGGTATAGGAAAATCACGCACATGGTCTTGGCACAGCTGTGTGCTTGCCACATTCCATGAGATATTTCATAATGGAAAACCAATTGCTCCACTAATATAGGATACCTACATTATCAGGTATATGTTGTGAAGCACCCAGTGAAGTCACAGGATCATACAGATTAGGCCATTAAATTTTGAGTGAACAAGAAGGGCGAAAGAAAGTCCTTGAGTGACGACTTAAAAAAGAGAGAATATCTTGGTTTGTGTGTTTACATGACTTGATGTGTTTTTTGCTTAATTTTAATTTTTATCAATCAAATTTTAAAAGGTCAAAAATGTAAGTGGGCAAGATGGTGATTAAGTCAGCAGAACTGTATAAGTTGCTGCAGTAGCAGGAAATTTGGCCATGTGTTTAGTTAGCAAGATTGCAGGCCCCTGTGCCTCCAGTGGCTTTCTGCTGGTCAGATTCCTGGTTTGAACTTGCTGGTTTCAGAGGCTTTTCTATTTGTTGTTATGTAATTTACACAGATCATTGTGCAGTGTAAAGATCTGTCAAGAAACAGCAATAAACTAGGCGCTGCCACTCTATGTGGTGTTTCATTGTTAATGTTTTTAATTAAAATATTTGCTTTGAATCCATGCACACATATATTGTATATGTCACAGTTCAGTCTCAATAGTTTCCTGAGTTCCGAGTTCCTCACCAGTGTTAATCTGTGTGTACTTCTGATTATATTGGAGCAATTTATGGCAACTAGTGGTCAGCTCCAGAGCTTCTGCGTCTCAGAGTGTTTGTGCTGTGTTGCAGCAACACGAATGGGATGATACGCCAGTATAAATAGGTATTATCCCCCTCAGATATTTAGTCTGATCCCAAAAGGAAAATTACTAACTTGCATTTGCTGAGTAATTAATTACATGTATCTTTTTAAAACCAAATTTCTTCAAAACTAGAAAGATATAGTGTACTGAATCCTTTGTCTATTCTAAGTGTCGCCATTTAAAGCGAGCTATCAAAAGCTGATCTTTTCTGGCAGTCACAGATTTTCCATGTGCATTTTTCTCCCATGCTTGCTAACTATGTTCAGATAATGTCCAGAAAAAATGTCAGGAAAATCTTTCCTAAAACACTGGTCTGGGAAAGCAAGCACAGTTATTATCTCATGTGACTGCAGTTTTAGGAAAGACTTTTAATTGTGTATAAATATGTGCATACCTGAGGGAATATCATTAAATAACATTAAAGACTGGGACATAATGTGTGTGCTGAAAAGCTTTCTGCAGAGAGAATATCAGGGGTCTTTTGGAATGGGGGACAACTACTTTTGGCCTTCACTGTAGCATCACTGCCACAATGGGACACTGCCTCAGTTTATGTGTTTCTTCTTTTTTTTAAATAACATTATTTAACACTAGAATTCATTGTTTTCTTCACCAGGTATCACTCCATCAAAAAAAAAAAAAAAGTCTGTCAGCTTTCTGAAACCAATTATTCCTACAGTTTTTGCTCTTTCTATTAGTCAGCCCTCTGCATTTATCAGCTGGTAGCTGAGACGCTATTTTCAGAGTGGAAGATTTTTAATCTTTCTATTCTTTCCAACATAAATTAAATCAGGCAGTAATAGCCATGCAGTTAAAATATTTTTGCTGCTTTAATGCTTTGTCTATTTTGTTTAAGATACAGTTTTTAGAACAATCTTGGCAATATTCTGGTATGACTGTGCTTTCTTAAACCACTTAATCCTCAGTAAAAAACCCTGTTTTTACTGAGGCATGCTAATGAAAACACAGTCCAGTGACAGAGTGCTTATGATCTTGTGAAAGTTTCACCTGTGTATGCTGTTTGCTGCATTATGTTCTGTTTATTTTCCTTCCTCTTGCCACTAACACAATGTTCAGCTGAAACAGACCTGTCCTTCGACCTGTTTTGAAGTGTTTCTTTTCCTGGGGACACTTTATAGGTAATTCTAGAGGTGCCAATGACCAGGCCCAAGCTGTGGCATCCCAGCAGTGACTCCTTCCCACTGGAAGGAAAATCCAGTGTGCAAGGGAGGAGGAGGCAGTGGTACACAGACACCCAGACAGTCAAGAGAGCAGACATGCCAGGCAGCCGGTAGCACAGCATATGCTCTGCTGTCTAGAAACAGCCAAATTCAATCCCAAATCCTGGCAACTCCTGTGATGTGGCAGAGCTAGTGACATAAAAAATATTTTCTTGCTAGCTGTGTTTGTAAGCCTGATTCTGATTTTAAGTAAGAAGAGGAAACATTTGACCTTGAACTAAATTACTGCTTGACTCACTCCAGACTGCCTTCCTAAATCTTATCTCATTTCAAACGCAAATTATTTATGCCTTTTCTTACAGGCACTGAATGGTTGCTGCCTTCCATCATGAGGACATGTGGATTTTGCTGGCCTGCAGCAGATCCTGGTCTATCCCACATCAAAACATTTTTGGTCATTGTGTATAGAGCCATACCTACATTTGTTTTTCAAACCTCTCTCCCCCAGCTTAGAGTAGCATCAAATGCAGCTCACCTGTCTTGCAGCAAGACATGCAATTTGCCACTTCTGTGTGCCACCCACTTCAGCAGTGTGATTAAACCATTCATTTCCCTCCTTGCAGGAAAGAAATGTTCTATCCCAGTCCAAATGACGTGGTAGGTAGGGAGAGGTTACTGCCAGCTCAGAGCCTAGGGATATGTATCAGTGTCTGGGTTCTGCACTGTCAACAGAGTGGGCCAGGATGTCTAGCAGGTCTCTCATATATGACAGAGAACAAGCAGACCTGCTATTGAGTTCTTTTCCATCCCAATTTTCTCCACTGGGAGAGAGTTGTACTGAAGTAAATAAATAAAAGGGCTGTTTTTACAGTGAACATTGCTTCCCCCTTGCCCTATAGAGAGCAAAGTGCATCCAAATGGCTTCTGCTCTAACCTCAGTAAAACGATGATGAAAAGAGTCAACTTTGGGAGGACTATTTGTTTCAGCTTCCTTGAGTGATGGATGGAGACATAGTCATTGCCTCTTTGATGCCCTCTGGGAACAAATACTAAATTCTAGCATGACCCTGGAACAAAAAACAACATTTTCCTTTGTGATTTTCCTATTTATTTTCTTGAGAATCCTGATTTTTGCTTCTTTTGAATTCTCCTTGACCCGTACCAGAGTATGCCAACCACAGCCTGGGCAGTTGGACTTGATGGTCTGGAGACAGGACAGTTTGACTATGCTCTTGCCTGGAGACTGAGAATTATGGAGGCTTATTTAGCACTCTGATAAAGAAATACCCCATAATGTCTCTTTATTTTCTTTCTAGTTTACATTTTTCCAAAAACTGTAGGACTTGCAATATACAAATATTTACACAATGAATTTTATTTTAATTAAATAACAAAAAAAAATTTATTGAAAGTAGATTAGTGAATCTCCTCACTGTGAAAAACCTAAAGTTGCATGAGGAAAACTTCTCTTCAGAAAGCATTGAAACAATATGTGTATGTGATCTCTTATAACAAGCTAAGAAATACCAGAGCACATCATCTCTTGCACAGGCTTTTTATCATTAACAAGAGTCTGTAGGGGAAGATATGAATTACCTTTTCAAGTTCCCCAAGGCTCTTACTCTGTATCCTACACTCTGAAGACCAGTGAGGAAGCATCCCATTCCATAAGATGAGACCAAAAGAGCTAGGAAACTTCAGGAGAAAAAAAAATTATCCATGTTTTCCCAAGTATTCAATAAGATGTTCCTTCTTAGCATTAAGCAGTGATTAAGCTGCTTAATATTAACACATCAGTGACTGTAATCTTTGTTGAGAATAAGATATGTAATTATTTTGGCCTATCTATGTCTTTTTCTGAAAAAAATTATTTCTACTAAGATAGATTTTTGCTTTGTTCCTACTGCACCATATGCAAATGAATCTCAGTCTTGGATGTATTTCAAACCCTGTGTTTCCAGCATTCACTCAGTCTGTTTATTTGGTGGATCAAAAGGTCATCCTAATGAGGTGACTGAAATATTTGCGCCAAGAATCAATAAACAACCACCACCCTCTTTATTCATAAATGTCTTTGAATGCATTTGTACAGTGAAGACCCATTCCTAGAAGTCAGTGTAAACAAACAAACCTTAATTGATCAGGGGAAGAAAGATTTACAAGACTGCCTAAAATTTAGTGGAACTACTTAAAGGTTAAGTGGACGTTTGCAAGCATTGTGTAGCAGAATTGAAATATTTTAGTGATACCAACACCTGATGTACTGCCAGGAGGTAAAAGGCCACACTCCTGAACAGATGAGTCTCCAAAATGGTCCTAATGCTGCCAGACTTCTTCAGCATCCTGGAGTAGGGACAGGGGGATTCATGCTGCATCTTTTCAGACAAAGCTTTAGATTTAGCTATTTCACTCGTTCTCTAATAATGGCAAGCATTTGGGAAGTTTTCCTTCACGCTTTGGCTTGCAGTCTGTAAAGGGAGAAGCAAAGTTAGCCCCATAGCTGGTACAGCTAGGGCTGTGCTGACTCATCCAAGCTGGGGCTGTGACCCCAACAGTGGCACTTAGAGTTACTTATTTCCCTTTTCTGCTTGTCCTGGCCATCCATTAGAGGTTGCAGATATTTGTAGGAGAGGCAGGGAAAGGAGGAGTAGCTCTGCACACTGGCTATCACAGTTCACAGGAGAGCAACCACACCTCCCAACACAGCTCCCTGATGAGTCCACAGGGAGAAGCTGGGCTGTGATCTGTCACTGCTGAAATAGGAGCACAACTTGTTGCAGGGATGATAGGGTAACCTGGTCAGAGGGGGACAAGAACACAACTATGTATTACAGAAGCCACGAGGTACTGGCATTAGCTACATATTTATCAGTGGCAGGGCACCTAGATCATAGCAAACTCAAACCTTCAGATGATTTCACAAAGGTAATGACAGCATGACGTACAAGAAATGTTCCTATTGGTGCACTGATGCTGCCTAAAGCCATGTGTTGTCAATGTTTATGAAGGAGCAGTAACAGCATTTCTCCCACTTGCCTGGGATTCCTCTCCTGCGTCAGGTTCTGTTTGTTTGGAGATCCTATACATTTTATTTTAAAAGATAAAGACTTCTCCTCAGAGGGAGGTCATGACTCTGATCAAGGGAACGTAGAACAGTGTTCAAATGACACAACTGGATTCTTGTGTGAGGTTTGGAAGTTGCTAACTGAGGACTATTTTGGAGACTTGGCTGGCCAGTATCTCTGGCATATTTGGAACCATTCCAAGGAGGTATTTTTGTAAGCCACTGGGATAAGGCAGTAAATTAAGGGTAATTTAATACTGCCGGGAAGTCACTTTAAGTCAGCGTGTCTGTGGATATTGCTAAACTGACCATAGCAAAAACAGGACATTCACACCCATTCCCCCAGCGCAGCAGAGTTTCCCCTTCACACTCTCAATGGTTAAGAGAAGGTTTCTGAAGACATGATGGCAACTCAGTTTCATGGTACCTCACTTTTTCTTTTCTCCTCTTGAGAAACTAGACCAGACTTTGAATGGGAATATTACTATTCCAGTCCTCAAAGGAGGCCCTGGCACATCACTTTGCCTCACAAGAATATGTATTCACTGTGGAAAGACTGAACTATTAATGAGATTGGAAAGGAAGGGTCTGCGTGCTAATACAGCTGTGCTCAGGCGCATCTGCATCACTCTGGTATATAGGCTTTTGTTTATTCTATCAGTTTCTGTTGAACATCCTGTGGAATCTTTAAAAATTCTTCTTAGAATTAATATTTCTTTATATAATTTAAGCACATATAGTCATATATACTGTAGAATGGAGAGGAATATGTGAAGTTTTTTGCATTTTAAATTCTTTTAAATACCACATTTATGTTAGTTTCTTCAATTTCAGTCCAAGGAGTTTAAGTCAGAGGGTTACTGCAGAGACATAAGGCCAAATAAGGACAGGATAAAACTCCTTACTGGTAGGAAGTAAAGCTGTTTTACTCCACTGAGGATTTCAAGACTTTTATATCCATGACCTTTAAATGAAAGTGCTGGACTAACAGCATGGAGCTGAGATGGGAATTCTTTTCTCAGTGATGTATGGGGGGGGTGTGTTTGTGTGAGAACAGTCCTTGAAGCTGCTTCTCCACTGCAGTCGGTGTTGTCCCAAATATGGGTTCTATCCAGACTGCAAGAAAACAGATAGATAGATAGATAGATAGATAGATAGATAGATAGATAGATAGATAGATAGATAGATAGATAGATAGATAGATATTTATTCCCTGTCTGCTCAGAGATGGGTGTTGGGTGGTAAGTTCACCCTCTCTGCATGCCAAATACCCAATTTTACAACCTTCAAACAGTGACAAATCAACAGCCCCCCTTTAGAAGACAATCTAAAACTAGATTCACTGCCTAAACGTTTATTCACCTTCATTTAAAGACACAGTACCCACTGATTTTACCATGCATTATCTATGGGGTTATGTGAGTAGTGGTCGGTGAAAGATAACTTAGTCAGCTTTTACCACATAATCCCCCAGAGGAAGGACTGGAGGTACCTGATGTGTGGCTACATGCCCTGTGAGCCTATTGGGATCAATACAGAAGGATTTTCCAGGTTTGGAGCTCTACACAGAGGTATTAGACCTACACATGAGTTGTGGTCTCATGGGATAATTTCAAGAAGTCTAAATAAGAAATTGCAACTTCTGATCTGTAGACTGTTTGGTAGGAATTTATATTTGTCATGGTTTGAGAACCCCAAAATCTAATTCCCTAGTCCAAACCCCCTCCCACATCTCAACTGAGTGTGAGGTGGTTTTTCCAGACACCACACAAGACTCAAAATGGGGGAAAGGGAATATATTACAATGACTGTACAAATAAATACTACAATACATTATATACAATCTTAGCTATCTCTACCATGACATAAAAAATATTTACAATGGATCAAATCTCTTCTCCCCTCCAAATAAAAGTCCAGGAGGGAAGAAGGAAAAGATCCTTTCCGCTCTCAGAGCAGCAGTGTTTCTAAGGCAGCAGGCATCTCTTCTGCAGCAGCTGTAGCTGGATCTCTGCCAGTACACACAAGGGGGTATCCAAGCCCTCATGGCCCTTCGCCTCCAAGCGAGGGTCTTCTCTTCTGTGAGCTGTGTTCACCTGGACACGGTTGTTTCACCATGGTCATACCACGAAGCACGGGGGTCTTTGTGACGGTCTGTATCTTCAGGGGATTCAAATTCCCCGTTGCAGAGCTCCGTGCTCTGTCTCAGGCAGCGGGGAGGCCAAGGTCACCCCCTCCACATTCCTTCTGAGCTTTACAGCTCCTTTCTGCAGTGCTGTAGCACTCCACGACTCTTTCAAGTAAGAGTTCATCATCTTCCTCCTTTCTTGGAGGTCTCAGAGGGGTATGGGGTTTTATTTCAGTTCTTACCCCAACTTCCTCTCTCTCTCTGTGGAGCCTAATTCTCTCTCTGCTGCTGGCTCTCTCTCGGTTCTCCTTCCAGGAGTTCTCTCTGTGTTGCTGCATGCCTGTCGTTGTTGTTTGGTCTTATCTCTTCTGGCTCTCTGCCACCGTTTCTTTGGTCAGTGCAGTTCTGCTGCTCTTCTGCTGCTGCTGCTCACAGTGAAGAAACATCCCCCAGCTCTTAGCTACAGATACTTAGCCCAGTCTTACACTGTTCCAAGTCTCTGTAGCCCCCCTGCCGGGGGCTGGGGGGGGGAGGCAGAGGCTCCAAGGGGCTCCGAGCCCCTTGCTCGTGGCTCTATAACATGACTACTTCAACAACAACAATAACTACCTTCTCTTCCGTTCTGCTTGTGATGTGTTTATATTTTGCAGAAGCGCTCATGGGGTAAAACCTCAAAACCTCAAGGGTCACCACCCCCTGGTTTTTACCATTTTATAACTTCAGGGGGAAAACTGTTTCCCCCCACCACAATATTCAATTTGATTTAAAGATCAACAAACTTATCCATGTCAGTTACATAGCCCACAGACCCCATGAGCTGCAGGGAAGAAGATGAAAACCTGTCATTTACAGCACAACTGGGACTGTGGCCATGACCTGAATTTTTTCCAACAAAGAATCTCATTTTTTTCATCCTGGTTTATTTAAATGTGCTTAGTCTGTAAAACATGGAAAATGTCTATTCATACTGATGTCATCTGCAGAAAATAAACCTGTTTGTTTTCCACCTTGCATTCAGTGCTTCTGGAATTCTGCTTGGACACTTGTTTTGGACACTTTTAGTAGATAAATGTAATGTCATTTC